GATTCACATATTGAAAATGTCTTAATTATGGGCTATTGGGATATTTGGAAGGGGAAGCATTCCAGTCAGAGGGAACAGCAAGTGCAAAGGCCCTGAGGCGGGAGCTTTTCTGGAACATTCGAGGAACAGTGAGGAGCCCGGCGTGGTCAGAGCAGAGCGAGCAGAGAGTACTAGGAGCAGAGGCCGAGCAGCCTTGCAGGCCAGGGGAGAGACCTCAGCAGTCACGCTGAGTGGAGTGAGCAGCTGTCAGGGTAACACAGTCTGACTCATGGTGTCTGTGGGGAGATAGACAGCTGGGGCGAGGGGCAAGGAGACTGGTTCGATAATGTCATTCACCCACATGTTCTCCTCAGCTGGCACACAGCGGGCATGTAACACGTGTTTGATGAATGAACGGATGTTGTGGCAATACAAGAGGTGTTCTCCCCAAACACTGTCTGTGGGGCACTAGCAGGACCCTGCGTGTGGTCCTCCCTCGGTGCCACAGAAGAGCAGCCCCGACCTGGGCCGCTCGGGCGACGGGAGCTCACTGACTCCGCATCCTTGTGGGGAGCTATGTGTGGTTGGAGAAGGTGAAAAGGAGATGGGCAGCACTTTGCCCTGTGGTCACAGACTCCCCCCAGGAGGAACCTGGTACACAGACAGTTATTTGAAGAGACTTAAAATGACTCACAGTGGTGACCCAGAAGAGCTAGTATGTGAGGGTGGAGTGCTTCACTGCTCCACTCTTACAGGAATGGTCTCTAGAACAGATCATGAATTGCCTTTTACACGCATGTGGAGACTCGGCCCACAGTCTGTACCCTCAGCAGGGCAAGATTTGCTGGCAGTTGAAACTGAGACATGGAGGGGTCTTTGTCATTGCCATGTGGCTGGTCACAAAAAGACCAGGACTGCAGTCTTTAGATCTTTCTGTTCCCTGATAGGACCCACTGCATCCACCCCTGCAGGGCCCTGCCATGGGTGCCTGATGTGGGGAGCACACCCACAGAAGCGGACAGCAGGGCCTACAGCCTGGGGGATGGGCGAGGAGTGACAGAGACAAAAGGCCCCTCACAAAGGCGGAAAGGACCGGGTTATAGAACTCAGGATCTGTACTGTTAACAGTGGCAACTGCACAGCCACTTTGTAACAAAGAACTGAGAAACTGAACTGAAAGTTAACTAAAGTGTTCCCTGCTTTAGAATTCAAATGGGGCATCACAGGAAGAATTCACACGCTGGAAGTGTCTTAATTATGGGCTACTATGTCTTTAGTGTGTTCACAGAGTTGTACAGCCATCACCACAATCTAATTTTAAAACATTTTCATCCTCCTAATATATATCAGTCAATCCCCATTCCCCCAAGTGCTTAACCATTGCACCACAATAGATTTGCCTATTCTGGACATTCACCTAAATGGAATCATACAAAAAAGTCTTTGGGGACTAATTTCTCTCACTTATCATAATGTTTTTAAGATTCATCCATGTTGTAGCATGTATCAGTACTTCATTCCTTTTTATTGCCAAATAATATTCCATTGTGTGGATGTGCCAACTTGTATTTATCCGTTCATCAGTTGATGGACATTTGGTCTGTTTCCACTTTTTTGGCTCTTGCGGATAATGCTTCAGTGAACATTCATGTACTGTTTTGTCATTTTGAGATATGAAGTCAGCCTTGTACAATGAACAGACCCCCCCCTCCCACCAACTAAGATGCATCTGGAATCCTGGGGCCTAACGAGAAAGCGGATGCCAAGGTCTGTTCAATTTAGTGATAGATCCATAACAGTACATTACAGCTGTGGAAGGGAAAGAGAAAAACGCCACGAAAGTGTTTTTCTGAGTGTTCCTCCAGCCCCAGCGCCCGCGCGTCTGCACCTGCAGGCACACAATGTACGCACTCCCGTCCTCCCTCCTTCCTTTGGTCCAGCTTTCTGTTTCAGAACCAAAGTTGAGAGACAAGACCAAGGATCAAAAAGAGGCAGCCAAGCCCAGAGCCAGGCCGGGTAGGACACAGCCACTGCTGCTGGGCTAGAAATATTGGAAGCCGTCCTTGGGCCATTTGGAGATGCTAATTAGGCTGGCCAGTTCCTACCAGCCTTGGGTGGCCAGTGTTGGGTGTGTAGGCTTCCCCGACCACTGCGTGCACCTGTTCCCTCCTCAGAGCCATTCCAAGGGACCTCCCACTCTGTCCGCCTTCCTGCTGGTCAGATATTTAGCCCTCGCCTCAAGCTGGAACCCTGGTCCACTGTTCTCTCCCTCATCTGTACCAGCTCTCAAAACCATTCTCTTCCCTGATTATCTTGAGCCAGTTAATCATTTCCAACACTGACTGTTCAGTAACAAGGACCAGGGTGAGGCAGTCCCGTTTCTTGTCTGACCCTGTCCAGCGTGCTCCCTGGTGGCAGTCCTGGACAGCAGTTTCCTTGAAGCAAAGGAGCTTGGTTCAAGTCCTTGCTCCCTTGCTATCCCAGTGAGTACGGGTGGAGAAAACATGCCACGGGAAGACTCACTAACCTTGAAAACCTCTGCGGGCGCAGCTGTGTAGAACACACTCTCAGCCAGCATAAGCGTGGCCTGTGTTGTCTTTAACTCCTTGTTAACATCAGGAGTGTCAAAATAAGTCACACAGGGCCAAAGAAGTCAGGCACCTTCCTCAGAATGTGACTTCTGCACTCTCCAGGCTCAAGCTCCGTGTCTGAGTCGCTGGTTTGGCCTAGTTTGGCCCTTGGGGATCCAGGTCAAACTGTCCAGGGCTCTCCCCCAATGAGTCTCATTCAGCTGATCTTCGCTGTGAATGGGGCCAGCTCCTGATTCCCAGCACCACTGCTGGGTAATAGTAACTTTGAACTTAAGACGTACTAACCCTGTAACCTGGTGTTTCTCAACCTCTTCTTCATTATTCCCCCAACAGGAGCCTTTAGATATTTTTATTTTACGTATTTCCCTCTCCCTAAAAGCCACAGATACGCTGTGTATCTGCTTATTTGCCGTATTTATATCTGCGCTTTATATGTATAAAGAGTAAGATTTTTCTGCTCCTCAGGAACCAGTTTCACCCATATCGCCCCTATTAGAACATGCTGGAACTCCTCCACCAAAGCTGCACAAAGGCGAGTTCTCGTGTGTTTTATTCCCTGCTGTAAGCCCAGAGCCTAGAACAGTCCCACTGGACCTGGCACACATTAGGTACTTAGCCAATGAAAGGATGAAATAATTGTGTGTCCCCTTCCCCAGCATTACAAGCATTATATTCTCTTTCCATGCCTCATCTCCAAGCACAGTGCTCTCTTCTGGAGCCTTCCAGCACTGTCCAGGTTAGCTGATGCCTTATGCTGGTGGGGTGAGGGGCTATCAGGAGGCTGACAGCCCACCCCTCTGTTCCAATTCCTGGGGCCTGCCCTTTGGTAGCACGGCCTGTGTGTCAAGGGCAAGTGAAATTTGAACACCATGGAATAATTAAGGCAACCCCTAACTGCCACTGCCTTTGTATCTCCTTACCTCAACCCTAGATTCAAAGTTAGTGAGACATTCTTTCTGGTCCGGCACACCACACCAGGCTGTGTCTGGGGATACACTGGGGAGAGGAGCAGACCAGTCCTCATCAGCAATTACAAACAAGTCCTCCATTGTTAGCCGTGCCATCTGTTTTCTTGGTTTCTACCAATCGGGTGCCTGTGTGCACAGCATCACCAGGGCTGAGGGACTGCAGGGCAGTGAGATCAAGGAACCCCTTCATAAAGAGACCCTGTGCTAACGTTGGAGAGGGCCCTGAAAAGTTCAACCTCCCCAACTCAAGGAAGAGCCATCAAAAGATGCTCGGTGCTTGCCGTCTCCCAGGAAAAGAAATGGGGGCTCACAGTCCATTGGGGGGCCAGTAGGAAATCTGGATAATTACATTGTCCAGAGGGTCAATGGAAGACATTCTAGCTTATGACCAGCCATCAGCACCAGCCCAGGACTGCTCGTGCCTGTAGAGTACAACCAACGTGCAGAAAAGGACAGTGTTAACAGTGGTTTGAAATCAAACCAACTAAGGCAGGGAACGCTAGTGTATCATCCATGATCAGTTATTTATCCTGAAATTTCTAACCCCAATATTTGACGGAGGGATAGATTTTCATCAATACTTCGAAAACCATAGCTTCAAGGGAGTCCGCATTTCTTCCAGAGAGTCCTTGCTAAGTGTCAGCTGTCCTTTCCGTGGCGCTCCGAAAGTGGCCTGGTCACGGAGGCAGCCTTGGCAGACAGGGTCAGAGGGAATCCACTTACACCTGTGGGCACGAAGACAGCAGCCCTGGTCACTGGTAAAAGTCCTTTGTCGGGTCTGGTGCTGGTCTAGTGACACTGAATTCAAGACACTTGTGGGGTGGAAGACCCCACTTACATGAAATACCTAGAATAGGCAGGTGAATAGAAACCATAGTAGATTAGAGGCTCCAGGGGTGGAGGGGAAAGGGGGACTCAGTGCGTAGGGGTCCTGAGCTGTTAAGGGTGATGGAAATGTGCAAACAAATAGTGGTTATGGCTGTACAACATGGTGAATGTAATTAATGTCACTGAATTGTACGTGTGAAGAATGTTGAACGGCAAATGTTTTGTTACGTGTATATTTACCACAATCAAAGAAAAGTAAGCTGTGGGAAGTGGGCGCGAGGAGCTTGTTGCCTGAGGCCGTGAAAACGCTCATCTTTGACTGTATTTTAGACCAAGTAAGTCAAGAAGCGTTGGGCCCTGGGATCAGGTGTAACCGTTGGCACTGCCCTCAGTCTGCAGGCCTCCTAACACCATCTGCAACCTGCATCGTCAGTATTTTAATGTCTCGTTCGTTTCACATTTATAAATGTGGCGTAAACTAGTCGTTTGTCCTTCCAGGTGGAACTTCGAAGTGACTTTTCAGAAGACTTCACAGCTCAGGAATAAATGTTTATTAGTACTGCGTTCATTATCAAGTTGGAGCTGTGGGAGTGCCATGCTTTTATTCACTTCATTTTATGTTCTTTCCCTTCAGATTAAAATACGGAAAGGTCTCCTTACAATATTTGAGAAAGGTAAGATGCCACTTCAGTGGATTCTCCCAGCCGCCGTGCTGCGGGAAGAGCGGGGGCATGTAAATTTACTGACGGGCATCCTAACACGCTAAGGCTACACAGAGGCCCCTCCCGCGCGGGCCCCTCCGCCTCTGCTGCGCCCTGCCACCACCACCACCCCCGCCCCCCGCAGGGGCCGAGGCACTCCTGCCCCTGCGTGTCTGTGCTGCCTGCCTGCTGGGGAGACCCAGCCTCTCTTTTCTTCTACCCCATGAGCGCGCGCGTTCTGGGCGGAATCCGACACCGACACCTGCCATCCGGGAAAATGTCTTTGTCGCCTGCCCTTTTGTGTGCTGGCTGCTGGGAGCCAGTGGCTGCCGGGGCCGCCCCCTTTTTTGTTGCCCAAGCCCGGAGGAGCAGGATCTTGAGATGGGCCGATAAGACGAGGCACGTGCTGGGCTGGCCTTTGACCACTGGCCTTAAGGGAGGCTTCCAAGGCCTCTGTTTGGGGAGGGCAGATTGCCGAGGGAGCTGCTGAAAGGAACAGCTGGGGGAGGAAAAGCAGACAAAAGCTGGGGAGCACAGAGGGCGGAGAACCTGGGAATCGCTATGGTTTAGGACCCAGAGGGCAGACCGCCACATGCCAGGTGTGACCTCCGCGGGCCTCTGCTTTCTGCGGGGCCCAGGCTCTTGGCAGTGAGCACCCAAGGAGGGCCTTGCGGCAGTGTGCTGGCCGGAAATCCTCGCGGGGGTGGCGGGCTCCAATGGCTCACAGACGCTCAGGTGGAAGGGAGGCCAATTAATTGTAGCAGTAGCTGTAACAGCTCAGAGGCGAAGGACTGCGGATGGGTTGTCATTTATTAACCATATTGCCCACAGGGTAAAGCTTGGCACAGACGAGTCACTTGTACATGTGGAAGTGGATGTTAGGGTCTGCATGTTTTGGTTTTTCCAAAACACCACCCTCCTCCATCAGGCAGGGACTGTGCAGCCAGATGAACAGCCTTCACCACAGCAGAGTGACCCTGACCCAGCTCCCCTCTTCCCGGCAGCCGTGGCTTTGGCCCAGACCCGTTATTGTTCCATACTGGGCTGCGGCAGTCCTCAGAGGCAAGGCGGGCCACGCAGAGCCCAGGTGCTCAGCCGGAAATGGGCAGGCAGGGTCATACAGTGCACCCCCCCCCCATAATGGGGATCTCCTGCAGAAGTTATATGTGCTGGGACCCCACATCTATGCATGCCCTCCTGCCACAAGAGTGGCGAAGTGGGGCTTGAGTGGCCTGTGGATAGACCCTGAGCTTTTGTCTCAAGGAAGGGGCCAAGTGGTGGGCATCTGTGCTGGGCAGCCAGCGAGTGGAATTATCATATTCATAAGGTGGCCTTTCTGCTTTGTGGCTGGCCTGCTCATTCCGCAATCATGGGGTCCAGTGGGTGGGTCAGGAGCCACTGTAGGCTGAGGACAGGCAGGAAAAGCTGGGGACTGGGGGAATGCAGTGGGCAGTGGGGGCTGGCTCTGGCCCAGGGTGGGCTTGCCCTGTGGCCCCTGGCAGTCAGGGCCGCACTGCCCTCAGGTGCCAGAAGCCCCCGAGCGGCAGAGCTGCAGTGCCGCCCAGGCCTGCCGTGGGCTGGAGTTGGCAGGGTTCTGCTGTCTGCCTCCTACATAGCCGCAGTAACGTGCAGCCCCCCTTCCTCCTCGTTCTCCCTGGGTGCTGGGGGTGGGGGGGGACACAAAAATGATTTTCCTTCTTATCCAGAATACACAAAGCTTCACTTTTTCAGTTAATAGCTTTGAACATCACTTTGTATCTTCCATTTATTTGCATTTTTTGTTGTTTCCCTATCCAGTTGATCTAATAACAACATGCGTAGTGGTGGGGGGGGGGTGCTTTATAATGTGAAATCTTATACAGTTTGAGGCTAAGGCATTTCAAAATGGAGTATTATCTGGGATTAAATCAAATTTGTCCCCCCTGCTGCCCCCACACCTGGGTGAAATACTAGCACCCACCACCAGCTACAAGGAGAAGGAGAGGTGTGATTTGCCAGTCCCTTCTTTGTCCTGGGTGACCGTGTGGCTGCCCTGCCTTTGTCAGAGGCAGCGTGGCTTTAAAGAGGACAGTAGTGACAGCACTGGCCTTGGGACACACAGGGAAGGCTGCCCTGCAGGCCTGAGCCTGTTTGCAAGTATTGATTGGGAGGCTCTTCCTAGAAACAATAAGGGAAGGCCAGAAAATGGAAAAGGATACTGTCAGCGGACAAATTAACTCACTTAAATTAATTTCACATGTCAACAACAATAATAATAATTTCAAAGACCAAGCCCCAGCAGTGAAGCACGTTTTGAGGTTTGTTGCAAGCAGGGGTCACACAGGGAAGCCTTGGTTGTGATAACGCCAGGGTTTAAAATACGGTACAAGGGGAAGGGTGATGAAATGATGTACTTACTGCAGAACTCTCCTCGGGGAGCGCGTGCAGGCAACCGCGGGTCGGTGTTGCAGCAGGCATTCCTGTATTCCTCTGAGCACGCTTAGAATAGCCCTCGGGAAGGGGCAAGGTGCAAATACGTAGGTTTTAATTTTATTCCTTTTTCCTTCCAGTACTAAATAGCTGTATGCTCATCTGGACTCATTCAGACAAGCAGTTTAGTCCTGACCTCTAGTCCTAGCTCCTTTGGGGAATAATTGAGTGTAACTCATTGTGTAAAATATCAATACGTAATTATGTGTAGATTCTAGTAACACCAACAGGGATCCAAGCCCCTTCCTGTGGAGTTTTTACATGTTTTTCCATTGACTCTGGTCATGGACTCTTTCTCCCTTTTAGCCTTTTTTCTTCATTTTTTTACTTGTGGATTGGACCATAAGTCCAAATTAATTTCAAAAAGATTCATAGCTTCTTGTATGCTGCAGAAAAGCCCAGGGAAAAGGCTAGAAGGAAAGACATATTCATTCATTCGTTCATTCAGCGAACAGCTCAGCAAGCACAGCAGGGAAGGTTGTCAGACCCCTCTTCTGCGGGACACAGCTCCATTTCCCCGTACCACCTCCTGTCCTGAAACCTGGGGCCGCAGAAGCCTCGGTTGACTCGATCTGGCCTCTTTCTGCTTCCTCTGCAGGGGCGCTGGCTACCAGCGCGAGTGCCGAGCTTACAGTGCCTCTCGGAGCGAAGACAGATGAGACGCCCCCATCCCTGCTCCGAGTCCCCAAACTCAGAGAGTCTGGGAAACCTGGTCACTCTGCTAGTGCTCTCAACAAGTCTTCCACTGACTGACTTCTGCAGTGAAAGGAGAAGCCTGCTGGGATGCTTCCACCAGGACGCTCACGCTCGGCCATGTCTTCCTGTATTGAGCCTGGGACGTCACTGACAACCAGAAATGGCCCCACGTACATGGGCGTTGGCTGTGACTGGCCCAGGAAGAGCCCAGAGCAGACTCCCGGGGTTAGAGGGACCAGAGGGGCCGTTGGCTCTTGCACCCCCAGTGGTTTCCTCTAGTTTATGAACCCGCTCATGATTTAGAGGGGCTGGCAAAGCGACTGTTAAACAAATTGATTGAGGAATTTTGCCTGCACTGATTTTGCTAGTTTTTCTTCTGTTAGGATTTAAGGTTTGCTCAGAAATTTCATCATCATGGAAGTTGGCTTTCCCCAGGGTCTTTTGCCCAGGAGAAGTTTTACCTCAGTTGCTGGGTGTTTTTCCACCTGGTGCCTGATGCCCACCAACTGGGGAGAGGTTCTCCTGACCAGTCTGCAGGCCTCCAAGTCATAACCAAGATGCTCCTACCCCAGAGCCCTCAGACGGTTCTAGAGATGCAGGGCCTTGCTCCTGCACCATCTCCCGTCGAACAGAAAGCCTTCCACAGCTCGGCCCAATGCCACTAACACAACAGGCCTGGGCCCCTCCTGCGCCAGGGTGGGCGCCCCAGCATGTTGAATCGCCTCCTAAAGTTTCACCCCAGAATTTTGTTCTCCTGCCTGTTGCTGAGAGTACGCCAAGACAGAGGCCTTAGAATTATTTCTTGTCACACAGTTATAGGGTACTAGATTCTAAGCAAGGGATTTAATCCTTATTTTTTATCCATTTGGCTCCAAGAAGGCACCATTGGGCCTGTTTAAAAAAAAGAAAGAAAAGCCCAGCCTTTTGTCCATGGGTGGGCATTGCCTGCCCAGCAGCAGGGGAGACCCATCCTGTGCAGGCCCTCTGCTTCCCCCCAGGCACTCTGCTGGTAGGATCCCAGAAACTCACCAGTCTGTCACCCTCCACGTGGGTTTTACTCTTTTCAGATTGGTCTGGTGCCCTGTGCGGAGTCAGCCCCCTTAGGTACTGCTGAAACTCACAAGCACAGAGGAGCAAGGGAAACACAGCCACCAAGGCCCACGAGAGAGGCCGTTCCATGTCCCCTCCCTGCTCGCCTCCCCCCAGGGCAGCCATTTTCACTGAGGAGTCTGTGGGCTCCGTCAACACTGAATTGGTTTGGCACATGGCTGGCTTTTGCAGGAGAGATGGGCAGACACTCTTGAAACAAGTGAGAGGGTTGAGAACACCTCTCTTGTAAATTCCAGAGAAAATTCTTTTTCTGCCTTATAGGGAGTTGCAGGTAGAGTTTGAGGCCAGCCCCACCCCCACACCCCAGACAAGCAGCTGGAGTGCTATGTGAGCATGAGAGAATGGGGAACATTCCGAAGTAGAAGTAAGCTTTAGTCCCCTTGGCTGTTTCATGAGTGGGCCCAGTGTACTCACTGACTGGGGGCTTACTGGCACTGTAAAGGTGACTGGGAATCAGGGCATTTCTCACTGTGTCAGCAAATCCCCGACTCATCCCTCCCTACTGCATTAATGGTTTGGGCTTTCTGGTCAGCCTGGGTTTGCCTGCGGAGCTCAGGCGTGAAGCAGTTGCTGAGCTGCTTCATTCCATATTCACGAAGCCTGGCCTCCTTCACACAGAGCCATTGCCTGCATGTCCCTGGGCCCCAGAGCCCCGTGGGAGCCTCTTAGCAGGTACCTTTGGGGAGGGCGTTTTAGCTTCAGCTCTAGGCCCCCCTGTTGCAGAAGCACATAGATAGAATTCTTGGTTTCAGTGGAAAGTAAGTGTCCAGATTTGGAAGTCATGTTTAACTCTCAGGACTTCTGCTCCATGATTTCAGTTTACCTCCACAGGTCAGTACTCCTGGCCTCAGAGTAAAAATTAGGTTGTTGGCAGTGAAAAACTAGACTTTCTTGTAATCCCTAGCAATTTTAGCAACCCCATGACCCCAAGTTGCAGTCCGCAGCTCTGTGACGTGGCTGTTTCTGGGCCACTGTTCTCAGTCACAGTTTTGTGGTAGAGACATGGGGTGGGGGGAGCAGGGAACCTGGCCATTGTGTTTGCTTGTGATCACGTGGACTTGAATCATTTCTGTTGTTTGAGGTGGAAAATTGAAATGAAGATTTTTTTGCGCTTAGAAAAGCAAATATTGTGCATTTGTAATAAATGCCTTTCAGCAAAATCGTGGAGGGTCGCTCAGCCAGTACGGACCCACCCTGAGCCACAGTGCCGACTCATCACATTAATAAGTCAGCCATCTACAAACAGAATCATCCCTAATTGGCCCAAAATGTGGGAAGACTCGCTGGCTCCCAGGCAGGCGGGCCCGGCCCTCGCGCTCTGCTTGCCGATCTCCATCTCCAGCAAAGCTGGTGTCGGTTTTTGTACTTAAAAGATAGTAATGCCACAGAATGATGACTTTCTTTTACATAGTAAAACCTTCAGTAGACAGGGCCATTTAAGTGACTGTCACAAGTGTCTTTAATTATATGCAGTTAAGGCTGCAGTTCCCAGAAGCCACCGGGTGAAGAGCGGGCTTCTGAGCCTTGAATCTATGATCTGGGTTGGTTAATGGGACCCTTCGCCTTACAAAGAAGAGATCATGCAGATCCATAGAGCAATGCAAATCGTGTCTTCCTGGTCTTAGGTGTTATAGCCTGCTCTTCATTCACTGTTACACAGTAAACCTGTGAAAGCTGGAACCTGTGTAAGGTGGAAACCCGTCAAAGGAAAACTCAGAAGATTTTCCACTAAAACAAGCGCTAGAAAAGTGATAAGACAGCACCCTGTCAAAGGCGAAAAACTTGCGGGACCCAGAAAAACAAGGCAGTCCTATCACGTTCCGGCTCTCCCAGGTTTCACTGTATTTGTATTATGTGGAGGTTGTAGAATACTTTAAAATTTACTGTGATGTCTTATCTGGGACTGTGTTACATTTATATCTGCTGAAGGAGGATGTCTGCATCCAAAGGGAAATTCAGCATCAAACAACCATTATTTTAGTTGCACTCAATGTCTGTGTATGACATACACAATAAGTGAATGTTTTCTTATTTTCAGGCCTACAATATTCAGTTTGTGTAAATAAGGAAAAAATTTGATGAATATTGTAAATTAAGTTATAGTGTGTCATGTGATTTCTCTTTTGCTCTCTTGTTATTTAATTTTCCTAATGCTCCACATCTAGGTTTATGTTTGTGCGGTATAGACCTTGGTGTGTAATCCACCTTTGCTGGCACATGTGTCAGCCAGGACCATGCTGTGACGGAGGCATGCCAGCAGACAAGCACACAGAACTTCGATGACCACCACTTGACTCTCCTCTCTTTAATTCTGATTTACAGTGATGATTTAATAAAGTGGAAACACACCACTTATGTGCTATGTATTTCATTTGTCTTTAGTTTGGTTGGAAAATCAAGTTTTTCTTGGGGTCTAATAAAAAGTGGTTTGCATTTTAGTGGTGAGGTTATTCAAAAGCAGTTTTCTAACCAATGCCTTAAAAATGTATCCAAAATGGTAGCCAGCACCAATCCAGGGAAATTTACAAATGTGTTTGTCTAAAATTGACCTCTCAGTTCATAACATGGAGTGGTAAGATTCAGTCACCAGAGGATTTGAGTTCAGGCATCATTGTCTACATAGATTGAAGTCCATCTACCTGCTGCTGTGATTTGTATCAAGGCCCACAATGAGCTGTGCAGATCCTGCACCTGGCATATTCCCAAAGACCTGGAACCCTCCCTATGAGCAAGGGGCTGATCTGGAAGGAGTGTCTTTGTGAATAAGGGTTAGAGAGAGGTGTACCAATGACCTCCTGTTGGTGTGGCTGACCGTGGTTGGTGGCCTGGACTCAGGAATGGCAGCTATCACCTTCTGATGACCTGGGCAGGTGGCCTCTGCCATGCTCTGGGCAGCCCTGAGCTTTCAGGACATGTGAGCATCAAGCTTTGTAAAAATCATCCATGTGTCCATTTAGCAAACATTTGCTGAGGACCCATTACAAAACATTTCAGTGACCTCAGAAAGGATGGCTTCCTGTCACTCAAGTAGTAGAGCCTGAGTCAATTTGGCTTCTTTAGCTTTTGTGTGATAGCAGGAGCTTGCTCAAAGGTATGGCATGTTTTAATGCTTGGTTTCACATAGAATGAAGCTTGACTTGGAGTTTTGGAGGCTTTCTTGCCTAGAAGCAGTGGTTCCAAGCCTTGTAGCACATCAGAATATTTAGGAAGCTTTGTAAAATGCAGATTCCTGCCTTCTCCCCTCCAGATTCAGATTCACCAGGTCTATGGTGGACCTCAGCATATGTATTTCTTAAAGCTACCCGGAAGATCCTGGCAGGTAGCTATACCCTGGGGTGGAGGAAGTATCAGATCAGACTGCGTGTAGAGCAGCCGGCTCCTCCACAACTGTTCGTTGTCATTGTGCTCCAGCCGGTCGCTGCTGATCCAGCTTTGTAGATGGCCTCCATTCCCTCCGGATAATTTATGGACCCTTGTTAAATTTGGAAATGGTTATTAGAAATTCAAAAGATATTGTGACGAATGTCTCAAAGTAATTTATTATTTACAACATAAAGCTAGAAGGGGGGGACAGCGGTCACCTTTGCAAAGCGTGAGTCAAATCTTAGGCCACATCATGCAAGGCCTTCAGCACAGTTCCAACTGCCAGTGGTTCCGAAGGGCCATTGCCGCAGATAATGCTCTCCTGGGCCTTAGTTGACTGGCTTCTGCCAGGTGCCTGAAGTTAAAGAAAGAATACCCTTGAGGTGCTTCCAGGCCATGATATAATTCTCTAAGTGTTCCAGGAAAAATGCTGGGGTTATTTGTGTTTCCTGCAGTAAAGAGTATCTCCCAGCAATAAGACTTGGACATCTGTATTTGTTCACTTCTATACACATTTGAGCTAGCATTGTAGGCCTGTGTGTGTGCACAAAGTAAATCAAGGCCACTTTGATTTATTGAACAGCTTGTCAATGAGAACTATTATCATTTACTCTTCCTTCTATAAATGGAAATGCATTTCATTTTTCAAATAAAAAATTAAAGTCATGGGAATGGAACAGAATGTAAACTTTATCCCGTGCACTTGATTTACTCAAGGCACAGATCTACAGGTGGAAAAATTGGCCCCCGTACTCCAACCACCTCCTTCCGCAGATACTGAAGCCGAGACCCCGACACTGGCTCACTGGGTTTCCCACAGCTAGAAAGCAGTAGTGCCAGGCCGGAGCTAACTGTCCTGGCTCCCATTCCTTGATGACTCCCTGTTCAGCAGAAGTCCATGGACTGTTTGTTGCGAATGTAGTTTCTGTGCACCTTTTGCTTACTGCTGAATTTCCTGGGTGGTGCAAATAATCAATGAGCTGTGCTGCTAACCAAAATATTGGAGGTTCGAGTTTGCCCTGAGGCACCTTGTAAGAAAGGCCTGGCAACCTACTTCCAAAAAATCAACCATTGAAAACCCTATAGAGCACAGTGCTACACTGACACACATGGTGCTGCCATGAGTCGGAGTCTACTCATGGCAACTGGTTTAATGTTGGATACAATGTAATGACAGTAGGAGGGAGGGGGAGTTTTTGTTTGGGGGGCATTAAGTTTATGTTAATGGTGATGGAATATTTTGGAAAAGGATAATGATAATGGTAGCACAACATGAAAAATAATAATCAATGTCATTGAATTCTAAGGTTACCTAGTGCTGCTATAACAGAAATACCACAAGCAGGTGGCTTTAACAAAGAGGAATTCTCTCACAGTCTAGTAGGCTAGAAGTCCAAATTCAGGGCATCAGCTCCAGAGGAAGGCTTTCTCTCTCTGTCAGCTCTGGAGGAAGGTCCTTGTCATCAATCTTTCCTTGGTCTAGGAGCTTCTCTGTGCAGGAACCTCAGGTCCAAAGGATGTGCTCTGCTTCCGGTGCTGTTTTCTTGGTGGTATGAGGTCCCCATATCTCTCTGCTCACTTCTGTCTTTTATATCTCAAAAGAGATTGGCTCAAGACATAATCCAATATTGTAGATTGAGTCTTGCCTCATTAACATAACTGCCGCTAATCCCATCTCATCAACATCATAGAGATAGGATTTACAAAACATAGGAATATCACATCAGATGACAAAATGGTGGACAATCACACAATACTGGGAATTATGGCCTAGCCAAATTGATACACATATTTTTGGGGTACACAATTCAATCCATGACAAATTGTAAACGTGGAAATTGTTGTGTTGATAAATGTTTTGATGTATGTATTTTTACCAAAATATTTCATTCATTATCTCATTACCTGAAGGAAGTTTGTTTCAGGAGTTTAAGAGAAAGAAGGTAAAGATACATCAGTGTCATACACCACAAGAACCACCCTTGAGTGGGGTTGAAAGAGTCTTGCTCCAAAGACCCAGAACAGAGGTTCTTAGCATGCTGCCCACTGCAGCTTACACCACAGCACTGCCCTTAGAGAACTTAGCAAGACCAGCTGACAGCCCAGCACTGTGCTCTAAGGAAGATGGGTTATTTTAAATAATAGTAATATTAGCCCCAAATCTACTCTCAAATGTGAGTGAAACAGACTACAGCAACAAAACAGTAGGAGTACTCAGAAATGATACTGTTTCTGAGTACACCCACTCCTCACTTATCAGTATGGTTAGGTTTGAAAGACCAGGTCATTATGTGAAAATCAGCATTATGTGAAAATGGAAGATGACCATATCAGATCACAAAATGGAAGATGATGACATCATTACATAACTGCCAAATTAAATCACTACATAACTGCCAGACTACTGAGAATCATGGCCCAGCCAAGGTGACACATAACCTTAACCATCACAGCCAGCATTACTCTTGTCTCACACCTCAGCATTCGTTATCGCCAGATATACATTGTTGATGCATGAAATAGTCGAATAATAGATTCTTTTACTATTGTCATAAATGCTAAATGTCAGATAACGAGATAGCCAATAAATGAAGAGTAAGTGTACTATAAAAGAATTTGCTGGAGTGGAAATTTCTTGTTTTTTATTGCTATAATTTTTAATTAAAAATACTTTTAATACTTCTTAGAGGTTGAAGTGTGTCCCCTAGAAAGTTATGTTTAAGTCCTAAGCCCTGTACCTGTGAACATGACCTGTTTGGGAACAGGGGTTTTCTTTTGTTATGTTAATGAGGTCATACCTGAGTAGGGTGGGTCCTAAATCAGGGTGGATTAACCAGTAAGTAAGGTATGCGTGGGCTTACATTAAGCAAGTTATGCATGGGCTTACTTGTGTTTACTTACTCAACTGTAGTGCACAATTTCACTTGGGTTTCAGTACATCCTTGATGTGGTGAAAAACAGGTGAAAGTGTGCACTACAGATTAGTAAGTAATCACAAGTAAGCCTGTGCCTAGCTTGCTTATTGGATAATCCATTCCTAAACCTAATCACTTCTGAGAGATATAAAAAGAGCAGAATAAAGGGGATTCTGGGAAGATGGTGACATAAACAGACCATTGTTCCAACCCTCCCCCACAAATACAACAAGGAAATGGTGCTCAGCCTTGAGGGACTCTGAATTTGGTGAGCAGAGGACATCAGGCGAAACTGCAGACAGGCAAGAATCAATGACTCAACGAGTCACATATGGTAGGAAAATCACTTCTCCCACCATCCCTGTCCCTCCCCCTAGCCACATCGGCCACCAGCTGCTGTGAACTGAGGAAGCAACCCCAGCTAAAGAGCCCCCTTCCCTAAACACCACACCCCCAACATGTACAAAGACACAGGACCCAAAGCTTATCCTCTAAAATCAACAAGGCAGACTTCTGCAGGGGTCAGTTCAGAGAGTTCCAGCACCTCCTCACCTGGACACTGTCAGCTGCAAGTCTGTTGTGAACTGCTACAGAAGGTCCCTGCAGTGGAGTCTGCTCCCATAGTCAACACTCTACCTGCCTCCCTGAGCACCCCATAGCTCAAGCCTCTGTAACCAACAGGACAGACCTCCCTGGGGGTCAATTTGGGCTAGTCTGCCCCCACTTCAGTCAGGGCTGAGGACTGCTGACTCAGGCTGCTATGTGCTAGAAAGCAGGTGTCTTGAGTGGAAGCTGCACTCAGCCAAAAATCTACGAGGGTGGCTCTGATAGCAACAAGGCAGACTTACCTAAGAGTTTGTTCAGAGCGTAACAACCACTTCCCCCACACAGTAAGTGTTGGTTGCCAGGCTGGTGTGAAATGCTACAGAAGGCCCCTGCAGTGGAGTCTGCTCCCATAGTCAGCACTCTACCTGTCTCCCTGCACACACCATAGCTCAAGACCCAAGAACCAACAGGGAAGACCTCCCTGGGGTCTGTCTGTCCCCCTTTTGGTTGGCACTGGGACTGCTGACTGAGGCTGCTCTGTGCTAGGAAGCAGGGGTCTTGAGTGGAGACTGCACTCACAGCCAACAATCTACTGGGTGGACTCTGATAGCAAGAAGGCAGACCTCCCTAGGAGTTCAATCAGAGTGTGACAGCACCTCCTCCACCTGGCTACAAGTGGCTGCCAGGTTGCTGTGAATTGCTATAGAAGGCATCCTGCAGTGGATTCTGCTCCCATAGTCAGCACTCTACCTGCCTCTCTGTGCACCCCATAGCTCAGGCCTCTGAATCCAACAGGACAGACCTCCCTGGGGGTCAGTTCAGGTCTGTCCGCTCCCACTTCCCATTGGTGCTGTGAACTACTGACAGACTGCTCCACATTAGGAAACAGACATCTTGCGTGGAGGCTACACCTACAGCCAACATACTATGGGGAGAGGGGGAGGCACTCTGATAGCAACAGGGCAGACCTCCCTGGAGGTCAGTTCAGGTCTGTCTGCTCCCCCTTCCTGTTATCACTGAGCACTGCTGACCGAGGCTGCTATGTGCTAGAAAATAGGCATCTTGAGTGGATGCTGCACCCATAGCCTACATATTACAGAGTTGGGTGGGGGGGCTGTGATAGCAACAAGGCCAACCTCGCTGAGGTTCTGTTCAGAATATGACAGCCCCTCCTGCACCCGGTAACTATTGGCTGCTGGACTGATACAGACTTCTACAGAAGGTTCTCTGCAGTGGATCAGGAAACAGGTCACCTAAGTGGAGACTGATCCCCCAAAAACCACAGGGTCACTGGGCTCTAAAAGTAACCAGACGTTTCTCAGAGGTCTTTCTGGAGAATGCCAGCCCCTCCTCTTCCTGAAACAGAGGAAAATCAGCCTGTGCTTCCCTTAAATGCCAGCTCATCTATAAGCAGTCCCCACAGAGCAGTAACCTCCCGACATAAAATAGTCCTGGACCAGATGGCTTTACTGGGAAATTCTACCAAATATTTAGAGAAGAATTGACACCAGTCCTGTTTGAACTCTTCCAAAAGATAGAGAAGGAAGGAATACTCCCTAATTCAACAACACAAAGACATCACAAGAAAACTACAGGCCAGTATCTATTCTGAATATAGATGCAAAAGTCCTTAACAAAATACTGGTGAACAGAATCCATATTAAGAGTCATACACCATGACCAAGTGGGATTTATTCCAGGAATGGTTCAACATTAGAAAATCAATCAATGTAATACACCACTTCAATAGAAAAAATGAAAAGAACCACATGATCATCTCTATGGTTGCAGAAAAGGCATTTTATAAAATCCAACACCCTTTCTTGATGAAAACACTCAAGAAGATTGGAATAGAAGGGAAGTTCCTCAATATGATTCAGGGTGTATATGAATAGTCAACAGCCAACATTATACTTAATGGAGAAAGATTGAGAGCATTCCCCCTTGAAACTGGGAATAAGAGGGCTGCCCACTGTCACCACTTCTATTCAGTATTGTGTTAGCAGTCCTAGCCAGAGCAATAAGACAAGAAAAAGAAATAAAATGTATCCAGATTAGAAAAAAACAAGTAATATTATTTCTATTTGCAGATGACATGTTCTTAAATATATAAAATCCCAGAGAGTCCACAGAAAGCGTCTAGAAATAATAGAGGAATTTAGCGAAGTTTCTAGGTGCAAAGTAAACAAAAATCAGCTGGGTTTCTATACACCAGCAATGAGAAATCTGAAAGGGAA